AAATTAAAAGAAAATATTAATATGTAACAAACCAGTTTCAGGTTGACACAGAAGTACTTGATAATTTAATGGATTTCTCCTAGATAAAAGAAATCTACGTTCATAAAGATAGAAGACATTAGTCACTATTTGCCAAAAAGCAACAAGAAGAAAATGAATACAGACAAATAAACAGTAAATATCTGTCAAATAGCATGTTACAGTACTACTGATTTTGGTTTCAAATATCAAAGCTTTCATTTTACAATTAACTCACATGAAGTAGAAGCACAGCTGCAAGGAAAGACTGTCCCTGGCAATAGCCAATATCTTCATCATACACAGAGTATGCCTAGAAAAAATAAAAAGTCAACATGCATTTAAAACGCATGCAGGCATTATCAAAATGTGTAACAAACAATGAGTTATTCAGAATATGTAATACTATGCAGGCTAAAATAATAAAGGGAGCAAAACTGTAACCATTCTTGCACAGGACTCCAGGGCACTTAAGAAAACATCTACAGGTCACCCTCAATCTTCCATAGATGCCATATTTGTCAATTTTTATTTTTATCTTTTGAACAGTGTGAGAAGAGTTGAATGCAATTTTCCTTCACCTAAAATCAGGGATAATTCCACGTAGGTTAGTAATGACATGAATTTAACAATATAATAAATACAATATAAGAACCAGGCTAATGTGTGTTGTGATGGGAAAGTGTTTGTTTCGTTTTGGAAAAACAAATTTTTATATCGTGAAAGTACTGGACCTGAGGTTGGTTGTTAGAAAACCACAGAGAACTATTCTAGCCTGCAAATTTCATCAGAAATGATTTTTCCATGTCCTTGTTTTGCTGAAGAATGAACAAGACACATTTTCTTATAGTCAGATTGCCATACTACCTTTTTCTTACTCTTAAAAAAACAAAACTAAAATAGCCAACCTTTCCTTCCCCCTTACTTTCCTGAGACAAGAAGACAGATACTGTTTTTAAAGAGATGTCAGAGGATGTTAAGAATTTGAGGAAATTTGAGAAAGTATAAGCAGCAGCAGGATTGACATAGGAGAGAGACACAACCCGAGAGAATAAGCAAGGTACTAAGGTTACAGCGGGGAAAACAAAAGCACAAGGTCAGAGCTACAGGGAGGAACAAGCCACATGAATCAGAAAATCCGCTTTGCCCCCACACCGCCCCCAAGACTGTTTACAGATGAGAACGTTTCAAACTGGAACACTTCGCTTATCTTCTTTTTTTAAGTCTTGAATGAAATCAAGATTGCAAATTCACTGAACGGAAGCACAGAGAGACTGTGAATAAACAATGTCAGGTATGCTGGGGAACCAAACCCACCTGGGTCTATCGTACAATATTTCAAAGGTGGCTGAACTACCTCTTCAAAAGATAAGAACTGCGACTCAAAAAGAGATGTGACTCCTTTCCAGCCAACAGTATTAATATAATTGCAAAGGATTTCTGCCAGAAGTGTTGAAATGGAGGCCAAAACATATTTGAAGTTTTTAAAACCACCTTTCCTTTTTCATTCTGATAGGCAGATTCCAGAAGAGAAGATTTCTGTAAAGAATATATAACCTGAGTATTCCTTTAAAGGTCACTGTTTATAAACAACTCATCCATACATTTCTTAATATGGTTGTAGCTTTTTGAAAAACTGAACTGTGGCTTACAGATCTTTGCCGTCTGTCTATGTTGCTTACCATTCTTCTGAAGTATTTTACATGGGATTAGTTAGAATCTGAGTGAAAATAATCCCACTCTATTGCTCAGTTTCAGTGGTCAAGCAAATACAAGAAGACAAGTCACATAAACTACTTAAGATTTAATGAACCATTACGATCTGCTTGCTAGCTTAACCAGCTCTAGCCACAAAAGTAAAATACAAAAAATAACTCCAGAAGTTTACAACAGCAGACACAAAACTATGAATTGGAAAAAAAGGATGCTTCTTGTGAAAAGTTAATTTAAAATTGCTCTTTAGCTACTAAGCACTGAATTAACAGAAATTACTTTCAACACTTAAATTAATATTGCATATGACTAGTTAGAACCATCATCATCATCATCATGAGTCTTTATCTATTTGTTCCTAAAATCTATCAGTTTATGGATACCTAATATTTTATTTCTGTAGCATTCCTAAAAGATGTATTATTTCTACTTCTGAAAGGCCAACTCCACATAGAAACAGATAAGCAGAATTACAAGTAATAGATTTGATTTATGATTTCTTCATGCTATGCAACATTTTTACTTTACTTAAAAAAAATCCAGGATGAAGAATTAATAGCAAATTACCAACACATGTGGGTTCTCTGTTGTGAGAAGCATTACTAGCACAATAGCTAATAATTTGCTGAAAAATAGCAATAAATTAATCCAAACAAGTTTTTAAATAACTATTGAGAAACCAACACATTGAAGCAAACAAGCTGCCTCCAAAAGTGACATAGATTAAAAAGTAAAGAAAGTTATCAAAAATAAAAACATATTCCTTTTGAGATTGTGAAAGAACTTGAAATTACGGCAAAAGAGGGAAAATAGGGAGGGTGCAAAAAAAAAACCCCTCACTTTGCTTGTTAAGTATAAAAATGTGAAGGAAGACCAAGAAATGTTTTCACAATCAACTTCCTAAAGACATTAAAACTAGTAATAAATCAATTTTCAAACGCATCCAGAGCAGGAAGGCAAAGCCTCTGCTTGGAAAAAATATGATCAAGGTAGAAAAGTTGTATTTCAACTATAGCAGAAAATCCACACAAACTCTCTTTGTGTCTGTTTTATTACAGAAGAATCACAGGGTTGTCATCCTGCTGGAACCATTCCTAACAGGGGATGCATTGAAGGCCACTCCAACTGAGTATCAGAAGAGATGATAAATTAAAAGGAATAAAAATACTAAAAATTGTATTGACAACAGACAGTACTCACCCCAAAAGGTTCGGGGCGGGGGGAAGTAGTAAACTGGTAAACCATTAATTGGCTGATTAAATCAGAAGAATAGATGACAAATTTGAAACATTTGTAAAAAGAGGTGATCCATAGAACTACAAATCAATAAGTACCGGACAATTTGGTTTTAAAAAATACTTCAAATTAATTAGCGGACACAGATACACATAGTATATATAAGCGAAAAACGTCTGAGGGCCCCCGTAGAAGGATGCCATCATTAACAAAACTTTGAAGCAGCCAACAACTATGAAAAAAATATTAACTGCATGATCTGCTTGCTTTTTGAAGTTAATTTCCACTAGGTCCTTCCCCAAAATCTGATCTTCACATGCAGCTGTTATCAGATACTTAAATGCTAACTTCAGTTCTGCATGAGAATTATATCAAACTGAAAAAAGATTCTGCTGTTAAGTCAAAGCATCATAATGCTGGCAACTAAAGGTTTATTTTTTAATGAAGTCTCTCAAATCTACATGATTTCATTGCGTTTGCCCAAAGCAAAGAGATTTTTGAAGCTTTATATATATTACATTTCCAATTACAGTTTTTTAGTTTTAAGTAACCCACGGGACTCAATATTGCTGAAATATGATGTAATTAACCAAAATTGCCTCAAAAATAAGGATGCTGCCTACAGATACTACCTTAATATCATATTATTAACGAAAGATCTAAGATTAATTATTTAAGATTTATCTTTCTAAGGGACTGAGGAGCATTAACTTTGTCTTTCCACATGAAATACGAAAACAAAGCAAAATCCCAAATCTTCTATTGCCATTGCAGTCATTGTAACTCTGTAATTTCAAGAGAATGGGAATTTTCCTATGACAACCTGCAACAATGCTGCAGTCTTTTAAGTTATTATTTTCTTAAGCTCTTGGGGAACCTCCAATTACTGTTCTCCAGTTAACCGAGATTTAAAATATTCTCTCTCTCATAAATGGGATTTAATGAAGATTCTGACTTGAAACCTGCTTTCATTCATTTTAACTGAATAAAGATCTCACCTACAGAATTAAAATGTCTTTTTAATAGTTCTCTGTCTTTGGAAGAGAAGAACTACTGTGCAGTTATTAGTACAACATCATTACAAAGTGAACACTTTGGAAGCAATAGTCTTCTCAAATAAAGTCAATGACAGAGATCTGCCTGCATGTTGGGAAAGTAAATGAAGAATCCAGAGATGGACAGAAATTCTTCTCTAAAATTATTACTGAAGGAAAATCTCCCAAGATCAGGATGTTCTATAGATATGAAAATTCCAACTAAGTAGCATCTGAAAGACAAATGGCAAGGTTGCTGATTTGAATTTAAAACCTCAGATTTAGGATTTCTGCAACTACTGTGTATGATCCCGAGTGTTTTAAAGAAGGAGTAGGGAGTACGTCCCAAATTCCAAGATGAAATGGTTTTCATTATTTTGCATCTTCATAAGCATGCAAATGATTGCTTATGCTTGCTGAAGGTTCAAATGTATTTAAAACAACAAGATGCAAAACACTAACTAGAAAATATCAGCTTACAATCACATTGCCAACTTGCCTTTACCATAGTAACTCAATGACATTAGAAACTAAGGAGAGCTCATGAAAAACATTTGTCTCGTGTCTGCCTCATACAAAGGTCTTACATTTCCAGAGCTTTCATTCCCACACACTTCACGGCAATGCAGAGAGAAAGGTACGAGCAAAGGCTCTACAGATCTCCATCTCTCATCTGCAATAACAGTATCTCTCCTGTCAGTAATAATGTTTTCTGGCACAGGAAACACTCACTTCTCTGCAAAAGCGACAGGCACACTGGCATGATGCTTGTTAATGGTTATAGGAGATATCCAGAATCTGTGTCCCAGGAAAAAGGAAAATGTAACAGAAACTGAATGCAAGTTTTTTGGGGGAGAATTACAAGTCCGATTTGCTCTCATGACTTACCTTTGCATCGCTACCAAAATGACAGAAATGATCTAGGGAATCTACTCAATGTTTTATATAGACGTAGCTCTGCACTGAAGTCTGTTTTAGTAGAATTAAAATACTCATGTGGTGACTGAAAAAAAGACTGTCTCAAGAAAACATCCATACTTTGATGTGGACTTCTCATGCGACAAGGTATTTTATGACATGCTTGGTTGCTGAATAATTTTAGTGATAGTATAATTTACTCCATACCTAAATTTATTTAGTAATATTTTAGTAATATTTCTATGACTGAAGCATTTAGGATGTATCACATTACACAAGGAATTTCTGTGTTAACAGAAAACTGTATTTTTAGAAATTAGTTACTCATTTATTGAGTACCAGGGAAAGGCACGTGTATGTTATACAATATGCCTCCTCCAGAGCTATAAGGGCTGAGAGAATGAAGAAATCT